AGTATACTGCTACTGTCATCATTTTCTTCAATTAATAATTATTGCAAGCGCCTAGAAGTCTCGAGCAGGCAAGAGGAAGAGGGAGAGTAGGGAGGAAAGGCCACACTGGCACTTGGGCCCAGAAACCTGCCTGTGACTGAACAGGCAGGAGGCTCATGGGCCTCTGCTAAGCCAGGCCTGAATCGCAGCTTTTAAACTAGTACTCCTGGGCATCCCTTCACTTCCGTATTTGACTGCAGGCTTCCTGAGGACAGGACTCTGGGCTTGGGAGAAAACACACAGCAGAGGGAAGACAGCACACTGGCTGCATGCCTGACTCATCTCTTAGCCCCTAGACACACCACAGGGGTGAGTCGCTTACCCTCTCCATGCCACAGAATGCTTACTACAGGGGACCACAGAGAACTGCAATGAAGATTAAATGAGTTCATATTCAAAACAGTAATTGTGAACTATTGATCATCTTCATATTCCCTGTAGGGCCTCCCTGGCATAATGAGTCTCATGCAGTGGATACTCATTAAATATTTGCAGACAGAATGATCTGCCCTTGGAGTTGTTTTCTCTGTCCCTCTGACTCCCACCCGAAACTTCTTAACTCTAGTGAAAGTTACATAAGTCACCATCTTCATTCTAAGTCATCCAGGGAGACACCAATACCTGAAGCCGAAAACCAACAACAAACAACCATCTGTAGACAACACTCATCCCCTAATGACATTAAAACAGACTGCTTGCTAACACCTGTAGAACCAGCTAATTTTCAATCTTCCTCTTCCCCTTGAGCCATGAGGTCTTAGGCTTTCTCCCTAGAAGTAAAGCTCAGCAATTCCACATTTGTTCTATAAAGTATAAATGAGAAGTCAATTTGTTCAGAGCTGTGTCTAGCAGCTTGGTACACACACACACACACACACACACACACACACACACAGAGATACCTATCTTTCCTTTTCTCTCTCTTTTTGTCTCTCTTTCTGTCTCTCTGTCTCTCTGTCTGTCTGTCTGTCTGTCTGTCTGTCTCTCTCTCTCTCTCTCTCTCTCTCTCTCTCTCTCTATATATATATATATATATATTATGTCTTTCTCACATAAAGGGTCTGTAGAAAGTCTCTTGGAAATCCTCCGAAGTTACAGAACACACCCATAGTAATGTGATTTATCAAAGTACAGTAAATGAATTGCCACAAATGAACAATTGCTACAGAGTCAAGTAGACAGCACAATGTGATTTACGCGTACCACAGCAGATGAATAAATCAACGGAGAAAAAGATCAAAGGAAATGCTGGAATTGTTAATATGTACAGGGCCCCACTCAAAGTCTTCTTAATAAAACTGTTTAGAGGAAAATAGAAGAATCATTTGTTTAAATGAAAAGAGATATCGCATGTGCTGACTCTCAAAAGCAGCATTCATTTTCCTACACACACATTAGATTTAGCTAAAATTAGCTCAGGTTCCTATTTTTTAAAAGGTCTTAAAGGAATAAAGGTTTGCAACATGATTTCATTGAGCTGCAGTTGAGCACTGAGTTTCCAAGGTGCCTGAGCTCTGGCGGAAGGCCCTCCTCATGGTCCACCCACACATCACCCCAAGTCCTCCCCATTCCCCCACCCCAGGTTTCAAAGAGGAGGCCTAGGAAGCCTGCCCCTCCTCCTCTTAGCTTCCCTATCGGCCTTCCACCCCAGCTTATGGCACCAGGCAACTCAGTCATCTCTTTCTGCTTGTTCAGCTCTGCCAGGCGCAAGGACCCAAAGCCCAATTTCAAAGACGGTTTCTATGCCAATGGCTTCCCAAATTTATCCACAGAGGGACCTCACAGCACTCTTATTCCTGCACTCCCTGCCTGATCCAGGAACGTGGGTGTCCCCCAGCACCTGCGCATTAGCCACAGAGGGAGGCTGGTTACACACCAAGCCCTTGCCTGTGTCCTCCCAGCCACTCCAGCTCTATTCAACCCTTCCCACAGAAATGCAAACCAACCCCCCCCCAATCAACTAAAAGGAGCCCCTGTGGCCGCCTCCTCCTCCTCCTCTTCTTTCTCCTCTCCCCCATCCTCCTCCTCCTCCTTCTCCTCCTCCTTCTCCTCCTCCTCCAAGTCCCCCCTGACCCTTCCACACAGGCAGGCTAATCACTCATCACTCGCCTGAATCCCTTCTGGGTTAGCATCTACTCCCGGAAGCCCATCCACACCCACTGTGTTTCATATCTTAATGCATTTCTTCTTTCCCATACCTCACCAGAAAGAATGTCACATACCTCCTTCCAGGAGCGCCTGCTTTCACTTGCATAGCACCATGAAATAATTTTCAAAAGATACACAACGAACCAATGAACCATTTCTTATGTAGATAGTAACTGTGAACCACTTAGAGCATAACTTCCTATATAGCTATATTATATTTATAAAATAACTAGAACCAGAAATAATTGCAATCCAGACTTCATCTTTTTCATTTTAAAAAAAGCTTAATGAATATAACAGAATACTACAACCACGATCATTTCCCTGCCTGGGTTTTGTCATCCATTGTGGGGATTTTAATGAGACCATTATTTATGCAAAATGTTTAGATCATGTGTACACGGTTTCCTGTAAATGCAATCACAGAAAATGTCAGCTGCTTAAAATTCATGGTGACTTTGCAGTATTTTGTCAGTACTACAATACAAGTGTTCAGAAAACACTGAGACTTGCTTCCTGGACTGGACGTCCCAGGCCTCTTCTCTATACGCAGCAATGCAGACCTTGCGAGAGGCCTGCTTAATGCCTGGTTTTCAAAATAAAATTCTCAAGATACTTTGGTTCAGCCGATGGCTTCTCTTTAAGTACCAGAAGGTTAAGTAAATAATTGAAGGCGTTTTCACCCTATATGCAGCTGAGCCACAGCCCCAAAAGTTTCAGTGTGAGGATTTTCTGCTTGGCACAGAAGGTTGAGTAGGTAGACGGCCCTCCCAAAGAGAAAGAGCTGCAGGAAGACACCCCACCCCTCCCAGCAGCTGACACCTGGAGACCTTAAGAGGCTTACCCAGTAGCAACTGAGGTCACTTTCTTTCCATTTAAAGAGCACCTCTCTAATCCCCAGCCAACAAAATGTGAAGAATCCAGTTCCATAACTCCAAAGGACCCCGTGCTTGTGATAACTCCCTGCCACCTCTTGCTGTCCTCCCAGAAGAGTTCTCCAGCTGTCCCTTCAGTGGCTTACTACTTTAACCACCCACACCAGACCACATGTAATTCCACCTATGTGTGCAATTCAACACATTTTTTTCTTTTGCATACACAATTGAGCCCAGGGCCTTCTGCCCTCAGTTCCTCCACACCCAGTACATTCCTTTTAAGTATTTTTATTTTTTAACTTTGACAAGGGGTCTCAAGCCACTGAGTTACTCAGGTTCCCTGGTGGAACTCACGCTTTCCATCCTCCTATAAGTGTGTGCCACCATGCCCCACTCACCAATTTACCTTACAACAACATAAACAACAATATGCATGCATTCTATCATGGTAAGAAGGTTATGATACATTCACAACTTAAAATTTAGAAAAACAAACAGAAGGTTCATGAGATTTCAGAGCTATTAATAAGGGGTTGATTCAAAGACCAAGGTCTACGTATATTTACTCGTTCCTCATCATGAATGGTCCAGGAGCAACCCTCAGGAAACAAGGCCACTACAATCTTTCTGCCCAGAGTTCAGTTCTGTGCTAAGGAGGATGGCAGACATAGACAGTCCACCAGGCGATTGACAAGCAACAGTTTACCCGCAGTACCTACATTCCACCCTCACCACAGCCTTTTGGTTTTGGCCATGGAGAAACCAAGGTAAGGAAAAGACCCAAGACTGCTGAAGGGCAGAGTTGGACCTCTAGATTTTAAATCAACGTGGGCTAGTTTCAGAGCTCCAGGTTTTTGTCCCTGATACCACAGGATTTTTTATAGAATTTAAAAACTGGATCTGGTAAGGGTAGAGAGGGAAAACTCTGATGAATCATTTCCAAAGTGAACATTCTGGTATGGTAAATATCCACCTCTTGATGAATGAGCTTTGAAAATCCAGCCTTGAGGATGTGAGGTTTAGTAAAAGTAAACTATGCTTCTCACTAAGCGAGGGAATGGAATATTCCTTGGGCCCAGCAGCCTGCAGACAGCAGTTCCCACACTCAGGCTGCACTAATACCTAGAACAGCAATATTCCAAGAGACCGGCAGGGCACTCTACGTGGAACCCACCTTCTGATTGTTTAAACTTTCTAGGCCATTCTGTTGCCTACCCAGGCTGAGGAAGCCCTGGTCTAGCCTAGCTCCTAAGCTTCCAACCTGACTGCTGCCGAGGCAAACCGAAATTCATCTCCTACTTGTATTTCACAACCAGCCCTAGTTGTGCACACAAGTGTTCCAAAGCCCTGATTGCCCCACATCCTAGCCAACTCCCATTCTCTCCGGACTTCACTGGAGGCAGCGTCCTCTCGTCTTCTCCTCAATAGAGAGGCATGAGTCACCAGCCCTTGCATCCACTCTGTGCTGCCTGACTCTTCAGGCCAGAAAAACTGACTGTACGTGTGGAAATCAGGAAGTTGTAAAATCCAAAGAGACACAAAGAAATTCAAGATTCAACAAATACTGATTGCCACTGCCCGAACAAACAGTTCTCTGTTTTCCTACACACGTATTCTACTACACCAAAAACTTAAACACGAAAACTATGACTTAAGATATCTGCTGGCACAACATTCTTACTGCTTTCAGGAAAAGTGACATCACAAAGAAAATGCAGGTTTCTTCAGGAACCAACTAAATTAAACCAAAAAGACAGAAGCCTTAATCCAAGTTGAAAGAAAAACTATCCAGGCAGTTTCTCAATTTCCCACACAGTAGTTTATAAAGAAAATTATACTCAACAGTGAACAAAATGCCAAAGCAGGGTTGCTAGGCAGACTTTCTGGGTCGGACTGCATCCTCAGATGGAGAGGAGACAGCAGTAGCAGAGCTCTCACCTGACATGTGACGCTCGTCCCCGTGGCGACACCGGAGGAGGCTGGGCTCCAGGGATGGCAGACAAATCTGCAGTATGAACACACCACCCTGCCGACCTGTTGCGCGATGCTCCTGAAGTCATCCGGGGAGCAGAGGAGAGGAAATCCAAAATGAAAATCAGAATAAGTTGCGTTAGAAACAAAGGTTGCCTGGAGGGACTAAGGACTGAAATAGGAATTTGAAGGATATCAAACTTGGCATTTTGTTTGATGAGAATTACAAAGATACCAGCCAGCTCCAAAGGCGGGTCTGGTTTTGTTTCCCAACACCTCAGAGGTAGGCCAACACACACATTAAGGTTTTCCCTTCCGTTATAGTAAAAGCTCAAACTCCTTATTTGAGTCGGCCACAGTCACTCTTTTCCCCAATGACCTTAGCCAGGCATCTGATAAACACACACTGGCAATCACCAGTAATAGATGGATATGGCCAAAGATACTGAACCAAAGCCTAGTTCTAACGTGGCAAATACAAACAACCCACATGCAATTTGACACCCACGACAGGACGTGGCTACCAGCACATTAACTTAAGGGGACAGGAAAAAAAGTATAAAATGTAGGGGAGAAAAAAATCTGAAAGCGTACAAGTGTCCACTGGACTTCCACTAAACAAAATCATTTAATCATTGAACGTAGGTGCATGTTATTTTAACTTTATGCAAATCTCATAGATGGTTAAGTAAAAAGTATCCACAGTATGACAAATGAGTGAATGGGTAAATGGATGAATGAAAGAAGAAATGAATGAATCTTCAATGTACCTTTCCATCAGGGAGTCTGGGGCTTGTAGTATTTTTTGTGAGGTAAAATTTATGCATAGAAATGGAAGAGGTTGAAAACCTGATCTACTAGCAGCTCATTTAGCCGTAAAATAATATTTTTAAGTACTGGTAATTGCCATTTACTCACTTTAAACAGAAAAAACCCAGTAGCACAATGACATTTAAAAAAAAAAATAGTCCCCAACCTTGTAAAAGCTGATCTGACTTTCAGTCTATGACGGCTGGAGCTGATTCGCATATTTGTTTAGGCTGATTTTAAATTTAGTTTGGGTTTCCTAAGCTCACGCCAGGTAACAGTAGGAAGGAGAAGACCCAGAATTATATTGGGTGTCAGAATGAAACTATTCTTGAGCTATGAATATGATCTCCAATGTGAATAAGCTGTAAACAGGTGAGTGAGCCAATTAGCCTTCGGAATATGGCAACGCAGCTCAGTAGTCATCATTATTTTCACTCATCCACACTCACTATTTTTAAGAGCACAGCCCAGCTGGAAAAGAAAATAACTTCAATTTCTTTCCAGCACTTTTCAAAGTAATAAATAGTAGCCAAAGTGTTCTTCCTTTTAACTAACCCATTCACCAAGCCCTTATTTAAGCCTCTATCGAATGCCTGGGACTGTTAGGCAAAAGGAGTGAGTTTTGTCGTCCTTGGTTTCCCCTATGTAAACTATAAAGAAGCAAAACACATTGATGTACACTAAAATGTCCTTTAAGGCCTTAGAAGACACTGTCCCTTCACCAACAAGTCTGTTCACAAATTTACAGATTTAAATAGTGGCCAAGTTAAACAGAAGTTCACGGATTCCTGTGAATCTTACAGAGCTCTTCTTTGATTTTATCTGATAACATTCTTCGAGATAATCATTTTCCAAGCAGCTGCAGGTACTGCAGAATCGCAGACAGCTCTTCCTGGGCTCACAGTCAGGAGAGGTTTGCTTCTATATCAATATAGGTGCACACAATTCTATTTGCATAGCGCCTGGCAGATAAGGCTTTATAGAGTCCAAATTACAGTCTCCTCCCATTCTGCTGAAGTGCAGAGACCAGCCAAATGTGATGCAAATGCTGTAAAATATTAATTTACTCTCTCCTTGTGTGCCTCTTTATTTCCAAAGCATTTGTGCTGCTCCACTAATTCCACTGATAAAGAGTTAATCTGACCTGTTACATTTTACCAGTAGGAAGAACACAAGAACAAATGCAAGTCGACATGGATTTGTTGAAAAACATACAAATAATAAAAGAAAATCACCTATACATTTTTTTCTAGACTGAGCTACACTCCAAATGGAATCTCGAATGTTTCAAAAGCACAGCAGAGCAACGTAATACAATACTATTAGGTGTGGAAGATTATCCAGAAAGTGGTCCAAATAATACAGATGTGACAATCTATAAAAACCAGGACACAGTATGGGAATCACGACAAAGCAAAGGGCACAATGAAAGATAACATGCTAAACAAACTGACAGACAAATATGCTTCCTCTGAACATTAGGAACACAAATGCTTATAGGTTAATAGCTGTGAGAAACAGCATTAAAGACTTTTGTTAAATAACTTCCTGAACAAGGGCACATTAGTGGGAAAAAGAGTTCCTGCCAGGCCAAACCAAAACACCACGACCCGGAACTTCTCTGCCCTCTTTTAGTCTCAAATTCTGGTTGCAGGACAACCAATTCTATAAAAAGTGGCTTTCAGGTAGTGTATAATTTTTGCTTACATTATGGCGATTATCACTGCATTTTCATTACTCCCCAAATGGAATGCATTCAAAGTTATAGAAAAATCAATGAGACATTTATGCTAACATCAAATATGTCAAACAAAATATAATGATTATTGCCTTCTTACCTGTGATAGTTCTAAACATGTTTTAGCATATGGGAGATGGTAATAGTACGTAGCATAAACACTTTCAGTACATTAGCCTGAAAGGTTCAAATTTATGAGTATTATAAAACATATCTCTACAATAATAAAGACAGAATACATAAATATATTTGTGCTGGAAGAAAATATAGAAACATTGTTTCCACAGGTAAGACAATTTACCCCCATGATATTCTTTTTATTATTTCTGTCATTTTAAGAACTGACATATGTTTTTAAAACCTGCATCTCATTACACTTCTTTTGGCCAACATTTTTACAATGTTATAACACTAGTACTCTATACACTCCGTATGTCACTACATCTTAAGGAAAATGTAAATGAGTAAGCACATTTATTTCATTAAGCTACATTAAGTGAAACTAAAATGGGAACAGGGTAAATTCCTATCTCAAACATTTGTATCTTAGAAGCAAAAGAGGTACTTTATGTAAGTTCTAGAACAGAAGTCCTTACCCCTGAAGGTTTATACAATTTCTTGTTTCAAATGCATTTAAAAAAAAATAAAGAAGTCTGCTTCTGGTGCTCTCTGAAGTATGAACAGAACTAAATCTATTCTTCGAAGTAATTAAACTATATAGATCCAAATCTTGTTCAGAAGCCAGTCGCTCACATGATTCCATTACCCTAAAAATATAAAGCAATATAACTGGATTTCTCTCCCTCCAAAGTGACAGTGTATGTTGTTCCTACATTGTGTCACTTTACCTATACAAGTATGTAAGCTTTGCAAAGTCTCAAGTACTGTTACTCGCAGATAACTCAAGTTTAAAGAATTAATATTCACCCCACATTCACCTACTTCCAGGAGTTTGGGGGTTTTAGTAAAACGTCATGTATTGACTAAGTTCTAATAGGAAACACAGTGAGCCTGGAGTTACTGTGTCAGACATCAGAAACTGTCACTGAATGCACATACACAAGCAAAACCACTTGACATTTCAGAAGAAACAAAAATAAAGGCACATTATAGAGAAGGAATGTGAGTCCTTGAACTCTTGAACAGCATAAATAGGAGCCGTCGAAGTGTTTGCTAATATTTTAATAATCTCTTGACGCTGCCCTTTCTCAGAACTCTCACATAAAGTAGCTGGAATTTAGGGCCGTGTTCAGGCATTTGACATATAATCTGATGGCTAAAGAGTTTTTAAAAAATCATTTTCTAAAAAACAATTTAAAGGCCTGAAGCCTCCATATAATATTTCCAACACAGTACCACCTCTGTATACCAAACCCTCTTAAAACAAATCCAGAGAGGAAAATATTGTCTTTTACAGTTTCCATCTGAGAACAAACACTTTTTCGTACTCATTTGAGCATGGATTTATTTGTGCACTGAAAAATACATGTCTATCTTTTACGGCCAGTGATGCAACTTTTGGTAGTTTGCAAAATTTATCCAGGGTCTCCGAGGCATTGTGTAAAACTCACACTCTTGCGCCTTATTCCGACTTCCCTGCTGACAGTGTGTTTACCTCCCAGACCTCGCTCACTTTACCAGCGCACTCACTCACCGACTAGACCCAGAAACTCTGAAACCCAGCACGGGGAGGTGAGCAGCTCACTCAGTCCAGGCTCCAGGGGGGAAAAACAATAACCAGTGCACCTAGGCAACCATAAAACCATAAACTGATGGTCAGGGTGACAATGAAAAGTGACACTATCCTTCTCAATTATTGTTTCTTTCAAATATCACAGTTACCAAAAAAAAAAACAGTTCTCATTGGGACTGCCTGGGCAACACAGGACTCTAGCCACTCAAGACATTTTCCTGTTTTCTTTTTTGCTGTTGCATCCTTTTTCTTGGCCTAGCAGCCTTCATTCACAAGGGCGTTGGTGCCCTCGTGCAAAAAGGAGAAGGCTGTTCTCTGGAAGTGCTCCTTAAACCATATCCTAAAATGCAGCACAAGTTGTTTGTGTACAGTTACTACACACAATCAGTCTACTAGCTACAGTTTATGTTATCTCTCACTTAACTGAGAAAATAAATATTTGAAATTACTATCACAGAGATCCTAGCCAAAAGATTTAAATTAAGAATACACTCTGAACGTCTGCTTATGGTCAGTACCCGTTTTTATGATGGCTGTGAAGTTCTAAAATGTGTCTAGGGGAATACAGCTTCCAAATAAGTTACTTTCTATGAACAAAGCTTTCAGAAAGCCAGTCCTCACGAGTAAGAATGTCAGCCCTAAAAGAAGGGTTTCTCGTCACCCTGCGAAGGGTTAAGTGCCTGCAAGGCCAGAGGCACCAGACTGCAAAAGAAATGTCGCTTTAGTAAGCTCTGAAAGGTTTCTAACAAGTACCAAATACTTGTTGATCTGCTCACAATAAACACCAGCAGGACTGTCAGGCTCCTTTCACTGTCTGGGGAGATGCATTTACATACTGTACCCGGCGAGAACAGCTTGTTGGTCTCCTTTCTAAAAGTTTAGTGGCTAGAAGCCTCATTCAGTGCCTCCCATCCAAATGACTGAAAGAAGATGCAATTGAAATAGTGAAGTCTGGCCTGGGCAGCACAAATACTGTGCAAAAAATACTTGGAGTAGTTCAGGCAAACCCACCTGAATGGAGGGAGAACACTGTCTGTTGCCATGGCAGCCTGATCTAATTACATGAGTGATCAGGGTTGGAGTAAGTGCCCGGAAAACCTACACCAGTGACACTATCACAGGAGAAAGACAGGCGAGCAGGAGGTTCAGGGGCGATCCTTCCACCTCTGCTTGATGTGGAAGGTGGCACTGAAGCCCATTTATTTGCAGAGCTGCTAAAATATTGACTGGTGCATGCACAGTTAGAGGGCAATCAGAGGAGATTAAAAGCCACAGCGCTAGCTGCTGTGGCGCAATCCCTTTCCAAGAGTTCATGTGCAGGATTTTCTCTTCTCTCTGGTGACTTCCTCAGGCATAATCTTCATTCCTCCAAAATGCCTAAGTATCAAACTATCTTTACTCCTTAAAATAAACTACAGGGTGGGTTGAAGGGGCCTCTAGGAACTGCACGGCTCTTCGGAAACCCAAATAGATATGATTTACCTAACACTGTCGAAAAAGTAACCAGCTATGCCTAAAAATAACCAGCCAGTACCCGCTGGTATGTGAGATCTATAAGGGTGATGTTTAAATATTAAAAACACCCTGCATTATAAAACACAAATGTCATTGAGATGTGACTACTAGATTGCCAAAGGAGAACTTATTTGCATACACACATTCCCTTGCACGCAGCGCAGGATGTGCACCCAGACTGCCTCTCAAGGCATTAGTTTTTATTCTGTGGGTGGAACAGGGTCTTCTAATTTTGCCAGTTGTATCCTGTGGCTCTCACAGGGAAGCTAAAAATCTCTTTGGGGGCAGAACCAGTTTGGAGGAGTCCCTACAGCACAACATACGGTAAACAAAATAAAAATAGCTTGCCGTTCTTGTTAGCCACATCGCGCATTATATAACCAGCTTCCGACTGGATTTTTTTTTTTTCGCCCTTACTACTCTTCAGCAATTTTCCAATCTTCCCAAGTATTTATATTACCCTCTTATCTGTAGGATTATATACCAAGAAAGCAAAACAAAACAGAGCAGCCGCAGGATCAAACTGAACTCTACCGTCTTAGAAATCGAATTTTTTTTGGGGGGGGGTTGTTTTGTTTTCTGGCAGTCTTGATCACCAACCTACTTCCACCCCCCCACTAAGGTTCTTGCTCAATCTCCCTAGAAAACCTGAATTGTTTCACGGCTTCCAGTCAGCCCGGTACGTGGTCTGAAATAAAATGAAAGCGCAAGCCACGGAGTTGAAGCTGGCGGCCTGCGGGCTGGGGGCTCCGGAGAGGTCGCGGCGCTCGGAGTCTGCCAAGTGGCCCCCTGGTCCCCTCCCCTGCGCGACCCCCCTCACCCCCCGGGGGCGCGCACGCACACTCACACTCGCACACACTGGCACCCACGCCGCGCTCCCACACCACCTCACCTCTCGCTCCGCCCGGCCTGCCCCGTCCCTGCCCCCTGCCGGACCGGCCTGCCCGCCGCGCTGGAACCACGTAGGAGGCGGCGGCGGCGGCGGCGGGAGTGGCGGAGTCTCCGGCCCGGCCCCGAGTGAGCGAGCTGCGGGGCTCCAGGGCGCATCCCAGTCCCCGCAGCACCTCCTCCTGCGCCGCCGCCTCCTTCCCCTCCTCCTGGCTTCATTCACCCTCCCAGCCGCCGCGCAGCCGATCACTCCCGGCGCAGGGCAGCAGCGCCTGCGGCGGCTTCTCCGCGCCTGCCGGGCCCGGGCCGGGGCGCTCGCGGGCTCCCCGGGCCGAGGGGCGGCCGCTGCACAGGATCAGGAAGCGGCCGCACCAACAGGGCGGCAGTGGCGACAGCAGCTAGAGCGGCCACCGCGCACGCCCCTTCCCCCGCTCGGCCTCCACCACCCCGGGCGCCCTCAGCCCCCCGCACCCGGCTGCGCGCAAAGTCCCAGCCCGGCAGCCGGCGCGGCGTCCTCCCGGCCCGCAGCCGCGCACCGGGGAGGCCGACCTCCTCCGCCAGAGACCCTGCCCCGGGCGCTGAGGCCGGGCGACTCTCCGCGGGGAAGCCCGGCCCTCCATTCTCGCAAAGCCCCAGCCGCTGAGAAGGGGATCGGCAGGGGGCAGCGCGACCCCGGCCGCCGCCTCCCTCTGCGCCACCGGGAGGGGAGGACGCTGCTTTCGGCGCTCGCAGCCGCGGAGCCGAAGCCGGGCGCTGCCGCCGCTGTCCCCGCCCGCGCCCCCCGCCCGGGCGCGCCCCCTGGCCCGGCGGCCCCCACCCTGGCAGCCCCCCTGCCGGCAGTCCCTGCGCCCAGAGTGGGGTACAGGCTCGGGAGGCTGGAGCTGGGGACGGCTGTATGTACACACACACACACACACACACACACACACACACACACACACACGACGGGTAGGTTTCCTTCGCTCCTCTTCCAGCTGTTTTCCGTGCAGCCCATTGGGATTTGAGGTTTGTTTTCTGGTTGTTGCTTTTGCCCCTCTCGGGAAAACAGGGGGGAGGTTGATTTTTAATCTAAATAAGGGGGAGAAGGGGAGGGGGAGGGGGAGAGAAAGAATCAGAGGAGGAAAAAAAATAGCCACTTACTGTAAAGTGTAAATGGATCTGGGGTTGCGTGGGGAAGGGGGCACAGAGGGAGAGAAACAATGTCTTGCGGCTGCTGTTGGTCTGCTGCTGCTCCACAGGGCTTGTTTTTGGGTCCCCCTGCAGTGAAACAGGTCCTGTACGGCTCCGCCACTGTAGTAGAAATGATGTCTGCGGTATACTCCGCTCTCTCCTCCCCCTCCTCCCGTTCCCTCCCCGCCCTCCTCCCTCCGCCCGCCTGCCCGCCCTCCCTCCCTCGCGCTCTCTCGCGCTCGCTTGCTCGCTCCAGTATGTAAATGTGTAATAGAAGCCAAATATGGAGCAGTTGGCTGCCGCCGCCGCAGCTCAAGGATCCGACTTCGTGGGGGGGGGGGGGGCACCCTCTGGCAGGCGGCCCGGCGAGCCGCACGGAGCACGGCGAGCGCACGGCGGCCCGCGCCCTTAACCCTTGGGTGCGCGCAGCCGGGGCAGGCGGGGAGGCCGGCGCCGAGTCCTGAGAGAGTATCGGGGTTCGGACCAGGGAGCAGGGAACAGAAGGGGGGACGCCCACCCTGAAGAGGGGAAGGGGGCTCCTCCTTCCAGGTTTGAGAGGGGCGGGGAGTGGGAACGATGAGGTAATTGGAGCGGTGACCGGTGGGTGCTTCCGCGCTTCCCCAGCGCTCTGCACCTAGTTGGAGCAGAGTGACAGCGGGGTGCAAATCAGGCAGCCTGGGGGACTCCCCCCGGGGTATCAGGCTTGAGCTCCGAGACAGCGAAAAACCCGCGGGGGCGGAGAAGCCAGCTAATTCTAATCCCCACTGGCCCCGAGCCCCGGACGCTCCGCGAAGCGCCTAAGCAGGCTCACTCTGGTCGGCGGCTGCACGTTCACCCTCCAATCGGTGTTGTTTCGGCGTCTGGGAAGGGGCCGCGGGGCCTGCGTCGGCTTGCAACTCGGAAAAGTTTTAAAGAATCCCCGCGATGGCACGTGCACCCTCACCTGTCCTACCCGTGAGAGCTACTGACCACCCGCCTTCCCTTCTATTTCTGCACTTCCGGAAATCTGCTTTGGGAATTGAACTACTCCGCGATGGCCGTGATAGACGACCCGCGGGCTCCTCTCGCGGCTAATTCGGGATCATTAATTTAATCGGAAGTGAGGTAACTGGTGTAGGAGATAGAGAAAGTAAACGGAGCATTAAATTGCAGTTCTTACAAATCCACACGGAAGAACTTCCTCTGAGCTTAATTACTAAGTGCGGTGCTCAGCTCCCCCGCCCGCCCGCCCGCCCGCCCGCCGGGTCCCATCCCGGCGTCCACCGCCCCGGGGTGAGCTCCGCCTAGAGGGGTCTTCGCAGAGGTGCACTTGCCAACAGGTGTGGCGCCTGGGGGAAGAGAAGATGCGTGCCTTGGGCCTCTCACTGAGGCGCTGCCCTTGCTGCGGAGAATTCTGCAAGGCCTGTAGGTGTCGGGCAGCGTTTGACCTGCTTCAGGTGCTTGGAACTGGGTCTAGACATCTGATCCCTCCGTTTCTCCCTGGAAGCCACCACTGTTGACTGTAAGCTGTATTTGAGAGCCCTCTCGGCTGAGTTTGCTTATGACCTAAGGGTTAGTCACCAACTGAAGCAGGATACAGAATCACCCAGAGAAATATGTCAGCTTTTAAACAACTCTGGATTGTAGAGCCAACGCGCTTCAAAAATAAAAATAAGCACACTCACGAAGAAGGTAATACAGTCCCAGAATTTTTTTTCTCACATTTTGAAATGCCACGCGCACAGACATGGCTATTTAAATAGAGCTACTATTGTTCACTCTTACTCGTTTCTACAACTTTTTTTCTTTCTTGCCATTTAAAAATCAGTGATCGTTAGGTTTCAACCTGAGATTGTGCTAGTGACATTGTTGGTCTCATTACAGCCTCTAGTGGACAGTTAACATCAGGTTCCTGTAAAGGCTCTGGCTGGTGTTGTTTATGGCGACAAGATTTACCAAGGTGAAAACTGATGATTCAGAGCGCAACCAGGTACTATCTTTTTCCCCCTCTTGGCAAAGCGAACTTCTAAGAAGAGCTGTGTGCTTTATGCTGCAGGTATTATCACTGCTGGCCTGTGAACAAACATGGAGCTTCTGCTCTTCATTTCAGTTGCAGACAGCTTTCATAAAAAAATTAAATTCATCTAAAATATTTTTATAACAGAAAATATTGGTTGCCATGTTTTTGGCTTAACGAAGATGTTTTTATTCCAACTCATAGCCTGCAGACTGTCCAATCCACCTCCACTCTATTTTAGACATCTTACAATTAGAGAATTTTCAGGAAAAAAAACCACCCTAATATTACAATTATTACATCGGCACAAGCAGTTAATTTATATTGTTTTAACAACCTGAGACATTAAAACACATAATTCAGATTAGAGTTAGTCAACTAATTTAAATGGCCCCTAAAGGAAGCTAAATATGTATAGTACCCAAACAGTAAAAACAATAAGAAATGTGTCATAAAGTTTAATAAAGGTAGGACTGAGATTTTTTTCTCAGATGACAAAATATATAAATCACAGGCATTGATTCTTTAAAAGCAAGAATTCGTCAGATATTCTTCCACATGTCCATAATCTCAGCCACAAAGGAGACTGAGGCAGGAGAACAGAGTTCAAGGTCAGCCTGGGCGACTTAATCAGACTATCTCAAAGCATAAGGTAAAATCAAATGAAAAGCCTGGGGATATAGCTCAGTGGTAAGTACTTATGCAGCGTGTGACAGGACCTGGTTGGATTCCCAGAGTGGAAGAGGGCAGTTTCTTACACAAACAAAAACTGGAGGAAAAAAGAGCAGATCTTTCAGTTAGCTAGAAGGAAAATACAAATGTACATTGTGCTTGTGTGATCCCCTTACTCATAAACCTGATCTTATGTTTGTTCATGTCAATCTTTACATTGAAAGGAAATTGATCAGTTGAGCCATGTTACTAATCTATGTTGTGGATTGCTTACACAACAAAAATTATGTTAGTCCTTTTATCTATTCTGCCATTTAGTCATGTATACTTTCAAAGGTTTAACATGGGCTGACACATATATAGATCAATGATATTATATCACAGCCCAACTCCTTTAAATGTAGTCCCTAAAATAGACAAAGCAGCAGCAACAGATGAGACGTTTTTAGACTTTTAGAATCTAGGTTTCCACCCTAGATTTATGGACACAGAGTCTCCCTTTGAACCAACTTATCAGGTGACCCTAAACACATTGCAGTGCCAAGAATGCTGGTCTAAGAATTTAATTCTCCTATTTATTCATTTTTTATTCTAAGTTTTCCAGTGAAAAGTTATCACATTATAGTTAGATACCTGCGTCTTGGCCTCAACCAACTGTAGATCAAAAATATTTGAAAAATTTGCATTGAGCACGTACAAAATCTTTTCTTCTCATTTGTCCTTGACAGTACAGTATAGTAACTATTTACATACCATTTGCACAGTATTAGGTATTTGAAATCACCTAGAGATGATTGAAAGCACATAGGAGATATGTGTAGGTTATATACAAATACTATGGCATTTAGGTAAAGTACTTGAGCATCCCAGGATTTTGGAATTCAAAAGGAATCCCAGGGCCAGTCATTCTATCCAAGAGACAACTATGCATGGTTTGGAGATGGAGCGCTGCACTTCCAGAGAGCCCTAATCCGTACACAGATCTGCGTCTCATTCTTGCCAAAGAAGAGACACTCCAGGGAATGCGCTGGGGTCTTGAACGTGAAGGTTTTCTTCTTGGCAGCAGAGGGAGCACAAGAGTGCTTAATGAATGCAGTGTGCAGAGCCCTCCAACTGTGGCTGATTTTAAACTGTAGTACATCCTCTTATTGAAAGTAGATTGTTACAAAGCTGAACTAAAGCAAAAAATAAATAAATAAACCCAGCAAGCAAACAGTCCGCCAGATTATGACACCAAGAATTTAGAGATTATAAGTTAAATAAGATAGAGAATACTTTCGAGTTTTAGGCTTGAATTTGTAAGTGCAAGTTTACCTCCAAAGTGATGCTTGTAAAAGATGCCTTAGGACTAGCTTTCTCTAGTCCAAAATAAAGACAACATTATGCAAAGGAAGGAGATTCTGAGAGTACTTCCTGTTTATCTAAAACGCAGTTCACCCAACTGCGTTTAATTAGAGAAATGAATTTTATTTGGAACCAAAACATGTTGGGTGAAATATGTGTGCTTATCACCATGTCGTATTTACTTGCATGATCACGTGAGACGTTTTCTCCTCACTGCTTGCTGTGGCGAGGACTTACCTTTCCAGTACCTCTATGCGGCATTTCACACTTCTCCCAGGTCTTGCCTGCTCAGAAACTCCTTTGAGGTGCATAAGGCACAGGGTAACAGCCAAGACAAATAGAGGTTAGAGACCCAGCTCAACACTTCATAGCACCAGGTCATTCAGTTGTTCCAGTAACCCTTTGCGGGGTGAAGGAAACTGGAAAAATTAAATATTCGGTAGCATTTTTTTTCTTAACTTTATTTTTTTTCTGTCACTATATTGAATATTTAGTAAGTGAGCATCTAAGAAATTAAGAACAGAAACCGTGCTTTAATTCTTTCACTGCTTTGTATGTATTTGTCGTTCATCTATCAGCATCTTACTGCACACTGACGATGAAGTAGGCCCCAAGAGTGTAAAACGCTACAAGGAGTTCAGAGCAGAATAAACCGCAACTTTTGATACATGCTAATTGTCCAACTACGAAGAAACACTAAGATTCACAATGGGTTGATCCGGAACCTCTTGGAATTTTATCAGAGTGTCAAATAGGAGAGTCTGAAAATTTGGCTGTGGAACAATTTGTGAGCAGGTTCTGTCTTGCAAAGTAATATTAGCATTTGCAATTGTAAATCCAGCAAAAAGTGAAGATGCAATGTGTAATGTACTTTATCGACACATCTTTGCAATCAAAAAAATCACCATAAGTTGAAGTGGTAAACATTTATTTATTTTTATCTTTTTTAAGTTGTTAAAGAGAGTCTCCTCCCACGTTGAGGAAACATTTGCCAAGTTCTGTGTGGGACAGTTTGTTATGGTTGCGTCATAAATCCCAAAAAGTTTGAATTCTTTTTTTTTTTTTTTTTTTTTTTGGCAGAACCGGGGATTGAACTCAGACTCTTGCGCTTGCCAGGGAAGCACTTATTCTACTGAGCCATCTCCCCGGCCCCCAAAGTTTGAA